TCGTATGCGACAGCGCACAAGATCACTTAATTCTACACATGTGATATTTTATGACCACTGGGAAATTGACAATTTTTAAATATTTATTTTTAATGGTTAGATTTTCCCAGCGCCTCAGCCGCACTCAAAAGTATGTACAAAGTATTTTGTACATTCTCCCGGGCGGCTTAAATGTGTATATTTTTAGTGGACTGTATTTAAAAATGGATCATGAAGAGGATTATATAAAAAATATTTAGACATATAGCTTTGAAAATGATTATATTATATAAATTATCCTAGGTAACCGCTTGCAGGAAACGGCTCCACTTATCTATCCAGCCTCGCTCGCCAATACCACCACCCTTATCTGCCGGTTTTAACTTCCAAGCTTTATAATTCTTTGGCGACTTGTGATTTGGTAGTTGCTGGCTGCGATCATCCAAGGAGTCATTTTTTCGTAGGGCATCCAAGGTTAGGTCATTGCTGATGTATTTTATACGCGGTTGCTTCAATGAGGATTCCCGGTGTTTGTTATTAATTCTATTCCTCTTTACCTTGTCGCGCTCTTTTTTCTCCGCTTCCTCGATGCATTTATCGTTATCTTTGCCAAACGTGTCTTTTAGAGAAGTACCAATATACACCGGATTTCTTTTTTTGCTCTTCTCTTGTTGGTGGTTCTGTTCCCTGTGGCTTCTCAAATTCATATTGTCCAAGGACACTTTTTGTACATGCTTGTCCATTTTGTCACTGCTGACTTCCTCTGATGTGTCGAGTTTTTCTACGATGGCTTCCAATTTTTTCTTTTGATGTTCCAGCTTAGCTTCCAGATCTTGGACTTGGTTTTCCAGGTCACGCCGTTGCTTTTGAGCTTTTTCTTCAATGGCCTGTATGTCTCTTTCAAATTTAGTTAGCAAGGACTGCACCAAATCTTCAAGCCCCAGTTTTTCATCATTAGCGGTTTTCAGGCCATCTTCTAATATTTTGATTCGGGAAGCTGATTCGGCTAATTGTGATGCAGTATTGAGTCTTCCCTCTTCATTATTTTGGGTAAGAGCTCTAACTTTTTCCTCCGAGTTAGGACTTGCCGGCGGGAATATATTCATATCCTCAAAGTTTCGAGCTGCAACAAAAACACACCAGTCACATTCGCAATCATGTGGATAAAATAGCCAATATCTTCTAGCCATTTCAAGAGTGTCTCGATCACCAATACAATATTCCGCTTCTCTTTTATCATCCAAAGGGCATGTAATATCACCCTTTGCATCTTTTCCACAACTTGTGGTCTTCGAGGGCCTCTGCTCTGTTGTCAGCCCAAAGGTGGGAAATACAATATTTGCACACTCCTCAGCTTCCATTGCTACTTCCTCCGGACTAAGGAAATAGTACTCCAGTTCAATTCTCCAGGGTCCTGGTGGTTTTAAGCATTCTTCAATTTCCGCTTGTGCAGTATCTCCATTCAACTTGCAACCTCGTGTTCTCGTCGCCATTAATTTATGCGCTAACACAAGGCATTTATCCACTGCTACTGAACTTTCCTGGATTCTCTGAGGAATGTACTTTTTAAAACTTTTCAACGTTTGTTGTAAAACGTAATACGTGTTTTCAACAAGAATCTTATACTTGTTCACGTTACGAATTTTTTTAAATTGAGTCGCCGATGCCAATGTTGTGCAGAAATAGTCAGCCAAGACCAAAAATTTTGCTTCTTGATCCATTTTTTTTTTTTTTTCGGAATTCTTTTTGAGTTTTAACTTGGACTAATTGATGTCCTCTTTTCAAAATTTATTTTTATGTATATATATATTTTTTTTTTTATTTTATTTGGGACTTCTGTTGTCCTCTTTTCGTTTTATTTTTATTTTTGCCCCTATGGCTTTTTTTTTTGTTTTTGCCCCTATGGCTTTTTTTATTTTGCCCCTATGGCTTTTTTTTTTTATTTTGCCCCTATGGCTTTTTTATTCAAATTAGTCCCTTCGGCTATTTCAAAATGCCCCTATGGTCTTATATTTAAAATGCCTTAACGGACTTTGTTTTGTGTAGAAATTCTCCTCTATTTCTGGAGAATATCTATTTCTGCTTGTAGTGAGTCTCTTACCACTGGTGGGGGAAAACTCCTACAATTTTTTTACGGCCGCTAGTTATTTCCACTTTATAAAAAAGTGAAGGCTCGATTGACCATGTTTAAGCGGGAGAAGAGAAAACACGACCGTATCGTGTGGCTGTTGGTTCAATTCTGATTTTATTTTTAAAATATGTTCCTTACGTACTACTGAAACTAATCTAACTTAACCTAGTCGCAGCCACACAATTGTTCTTATCTATTATTAGATTTAAAAGAAACATTGCATGGGTGCTTGTCCCTTCATTCAAGTGGTCTTGGCTATCCACTGTACGCATCGATACTGTGTGTGTGGGTCATGACCTTTATTATCTTACACATTATCGTATGCGACAGCGCACAAGATCACTTAATTCTACACATGTGATATTTTATGACCGCTGGGAAACTGATAATTTGGAAATATTTATTTTTAATTGTTGGATTTTCCCAGCGCCTCAATCTCACTCAAAAGTATGTACAAAGTATTTTGTACAATATATATATATATATATATATATATAATATATATATATATATATATATATATATATATATATATATATATATATATATATATATATATATATATATATATATCTATATATATATATATATATATATACGGTATATGGGGGCTATACGAAGACGTGGACCTACATTTTTTTTTTTGTTTGGAAAACGTCGACCTTTTGTGGGAGGTATTGTTCATCTCCGATCTCAATATCAAGTTTGATAATAATATTACGATTTACCAAGTTTGGACCAAATCGGATACTGCCTTCGAGAGTTGTCGTTCGCACCAGCCAGATAAACAGACGGACGGACATCCATCTAAATGCCGCAAAAAATTTCACTGGGTTATATTGTATTGCAGTGGGTCTTTGAGCAAGTGTAATTGTATATGTTTGTGTTTTGTTTTTAGATTGAAATCAAAAACAATTGCTTTACCATAAATTCATAATAAAATGACTCGTGATGTACAAATGTATGTGTGTGTGTGTTTGTGTATTAGATGTACGTGAACAAATCTCTATCAGTCGGACTCGCGATGTTTTTTTTTTTTCAACTATACAAACGTCATGTCTAGGTGAACCTGGCAAGGTGTGACGTTTAAATTGATAGCAGATACCACCGGCATGCAAAGTGGTAGTAATGCTATCACAAAAAACATAATCGAGAAATGTATTTGTTTTTGTTTTTTCTTTTAAGAATATTGAATTCCAGCTTTGATGGGAGTGTTATTTTTTCTCTGGAAAAAATACCTTTCATAAATTGTTTTAAAGCGTATTCTTTGGGAGATGAAATACTCTTTTTAGTTAAGTGTCAAATTAAGAAGTTAAAAAGTATCGTTTGTCGAAGTATGTCGACAGATGTATACACTCAGCCAATGTCCGATTATTAAAATATATTTTGACTTATGTTATGATTATTTATATTTTTGGCCCTCTATGGATGGGGTAGGTCCTGAAGCCAATATTGTCCCTTCCGTACCGCACTTTATATCAAATATGTGATATTTTTTCACAAAATGTTGAAATGTGCGTGAAGTTCCATTTTCATACTTCATCTAATGCAGATGAGCAGATATTGGTATGAACAAAACTTCAAGAAAAGCGAACATTTACAGGGTGAGATGAAGAAAACTGCACTCAAATTCATACTGCTGTCATATCTAAGCCACTCGTTCGACAGCTGTTAAAATTATTCCAGTGACAGCTCAGGTCAAGCGTACAAAAGCACTTTGGTGAAAATTTTCCAGAAAAAAGTCATTCGTGATGGAATTAAAACGTGATAGTGTGAATTCTTTATAGTTGGCTGGAGAACTACAAGTGGCTATCGTTAGAGCACTCCAGCATTTAAATGTGAATAAATCTTTTGTGTCTCGCACCATCGTTCGTTACCGTGTTACTGGTAGCGTAGCCTGGCGTCAAGGAGGTGGACGGAAGAAAACAGTAACATCAGCAGAAATGGTTCGAAAAGTAAAGAAGCGACTTAATGAGAAACCCGCGTCGCAGTGGCCGAAAAGTGTCTCGTGAGCTGAAAATATCGCAATCTTTCATTCGGCAAATATTGAAAAATTCGGCAAATATTGAAAAATTCTCGGGGTAAAGCAATTGAAATTACAAAAAGTGCAAGAATTTACACCGCAACAAAAAGTAACAGAAATTAGACTCAAAAGAGTTGCTTCGCTTGGCCGAAAGTAATGAACTGGTTTTCTCCGATTAGAAAACATTCGTTGTCCAGCAGTTTGTAAACAAACAAAATTATCGTGTTTATTTGTCAAAGAGGTCAGCTGAAAATGTGCACCTTCGGTTGGCCACCAGAACTCAAGCGCCGGCCATGGTAACGGTGTAGGCCGCCATAGCAGCCGATGGTCGCTCTCCACCCGTATTAATCATCCGTCGCATCAGAATAAATGTCGAATATTATCGCGAAAATATTCTGGAGGGAGAATTAAAGCTTTGGGCGCGCAAAAATTTTGGCCGCAAACCTTGGACATTCCAACAGGACTCAGCCATTTCCAGCGCACAATGGCCACCAAAATCACCGGATACCAATCCGTTGGACTATTGTGTCTGGAGCATTTTGGAAAGCAGCGTTGGCACTAAAAAAATACCAAAGTGATGATCACCTCAAGCAAACGCTTCGCAGTGAATGGACCAAAATACCGCAGAGCAAGATTGGGGCAGCGTGTGACGGTTTCATTGGCCGTTTGAAGGCCATAATTCGTGCCAAAGGTGACCAATTCGAACGAATCTAAGCCTATACTAAAATATGATGCTATTTCCGACATTTTTTGGTTTCATTCAATAAAATTTAAAAAAAAAATGTAAAAATTATGGCCTTGGTTTTTCTTGCAGTTTTTTTACTCACCCTGTACATTATTGATATCAACTTCCAAAGTTTTTCTTACCTTTCTTTTCGAATTGGCGGTTCTTTTTTTTCTGTAATTAAAAAAAAATAATAAAATTTAAATAACATTGACCATAAGCACGTTTTAATGTATATTTCGTAAAAAAACGAGAAGGCAAACAATCTGCAAACATTCAAAGAAAACCAGTAAAGAAAGTCTTAAAGTCGGGCGGGCCGACTTTATGATACCCTACACCACTTTGCTAATTTAGTAGAGCTCCATATAACAATTAAAAGTTTATATGGGAGAATTCAATCATACACACCATGATTATAATTATTCGGACTTGTATTGCCCATTTGGTGAAAAATTAATTTGAAATCATATAAAGATATATATGGGAGCTATATCCAAATATGAACCGATCTCGATAAAATTTGGCAAAGATATTTCTGAACTGTTTTTGATATATGTTCCTGAATATCGTTGTTACGGATTGCATATTACGGTTGTGGGTAACAAATATAACAAATCGGATGAACAATATATATGGAAGCTATAGCTATATCTGAACCAAATCACCAAATTTGACATACTAGCTTCTAGACTCGATTCAGTCGTAAGTGCCAAATTTCATCCCATTTGGGCAAATATTAGACGTTTGGTGCGCAATTAAAAGTAAATCGGACGAAGTTATATATGGGAGCTATATCCAAATCTGAACCGATCTCGATAAAATTTAGCAAATGTATTTCTGAGCTGTATTTGATACATTTCCCCAAATATTGTTGTTGCAGAGTGCATATTACGGCTGCGGAGGACGAAAATAACAAATCGTATGAACAATATATATGGGAGCTATAGCTATATCTGAACCGATTTCGATCAAATTTGGCATACTTATTTTCAGGTCAAATCTGATCGTACGTGCAAAATTCCATACTATTCGGACTGATATTACACTTTTGGTGCACAATAAAAGGCAAATCGGACGAAGATATATATGGGAGCTATATCTAAATTTTTACCGATTATCTCCAATTTCAATAGGGTTCGTCCTTGGGCCAAACAAATTATCTGTGCAAAATTTCATCTGGATCGGACAATAAATGTGACCTGTACTTTGTTTACAAAAATACATGGACAGACGGACGGACGGACGGACGGACAGACGGACATGCATAAATCGACCCAGAATGTGATTCTATGCAGATCATCAAAAGGAACTATAGGTCTAACTCGTTTGCTTTTGCCTGTTACAAACAAATGCACAAAGACATAATACCCTGACCACCTTGTGGTGTAGGGTATAAAAAGCCCCAAATGAGTTACTATAATAGCAATTAGTTAGAAAAACAGGAATTATATAAGCTAATCTAATCAAATCACAGAGTTAACCAGTAAAGAAAGTCTTAAAGTCGGGCGGGGCCGACTTTATGATACCCTACACCCCTTTGCTAATTAAGTAGAGCTCCACATAACAATTAAAAGCTTTTATGGGAGAATTCAATCATACACGCTATGATTATAATTATAATTTAAAGTTCAAAGACTAAATATGCCGAAGTATTTGTATCTTTTAAATTCGGAATTGTATTGCCCATTTGGTGCACAATTAATTTGAAATCGGATAAAGATATATATGGGAGCTATATCCAAATCTGAACCGATCTCGATAAAATTTGGCAAAGATATTTCTGAGCTGTTTTTGATATATTTCCCTGAATATCGTTGTTACGGAGTGCATATTACGGTTGTGGGTAACAAATATAACAAATCGGATGAATAATATATATGGAAGCTATAGCTATATCTGAACCGATCTTCACCAAATTTTACATACTAGCTTCTAGACTCAATTCGGTCGTAAGTGCTAAATTCCATCCCATTTGGGCAAATATTAGACGTTTGGTGCACAATAAAAGGTAAATCGGACGAAGTTATATATGGGAGCTATATCCAAATCTGAACCGATCTCGATAAAATTTAGCAAATGTATTTCTGAGCTGTATTTGATATATTTCCCCAAATATTGTTGTTACAGAGTGCATATTACGGCGGCGGTGGACAAAAATAACAAATCGGATGAACAATATATATGGGAGCTATAGCTATATCTGAACCGATTTCGATCAAATTTGGCATACTTATTTTCAGGCCTAATTTGGGTGTATGTGCAAAATTCCATACAATTCGGACTGATATTACACGTTTGGTGCACAATAAAAGACAAATCGGACGAAGATATATATGGGAGCTATATCTAAATTTTGGCGGATTATCTCCAATTTCAATAGGGTTCGTCCTTGGGCCAAACAAAAGATCTTTGCAAAATTTCATCTGGATCGGGCAATAAATGCGACCTGTACTTTGTTTACAAAAATACATGGACAGACGGACGGACGGACGGACAGACGGACGGACGGACATGCATAAATCGACTCAGAATGTGATTCTATGCAGATCATCAAAAGGAACTATGGGTCTATCTCGTTTCCTTCTGCCTGTTACAAACAAATGCACAAAGACATAATACCCTGACCACCTTGTGGTGTAGGGTATAATTATACTTTGATTTGGTCTATTATTCTCGTAATTTTTTCTAATTCAAAACATTTTGTTTAATTTTATTTGTTTATATTTATATATATATTATATACATCACGGTTATAATGAAATAATTTGGGGCGAAATGAATAAAATTCGAATCGTCGATGGCTGATTTTCGTGAAGACCATTGTCATATCGTTTATTTGTTTTGAATATTTTGCTAAATCCCAAGAAGTATCTAGGAACAAGGTCTCTCATTCAAAACTTTACTTTTTTTGTTTAGACATTTAATTACAAACGACTGTGACAAATTTCCAAAATTTCAAATAAATCCTTTGATCGTTTTGTTTTTGGGTTTCAATTATTTAAAGCAAACAATATCAAGTAAATGCTAAAAATAAATATTTGCACCAGCTAAACACGTTTTTAGCTACAAGTAAACAAAATTTTGTACACCGCGAGATTAACACATAAAGATTTTCGGAATTTACTCGGATGTTGTTGTTGTTGTTGTTTGGTCGATTTCACATTTAACCGGCTTCACTGGAATTTCTCATTTGAATTTGATTGGAAAAAAAAAATGCAAAACAGCGCAGAAACAACAACAGAATCCGGAGATGAGAAAATAAATAAAACAAAACTAAAAGAAAGAAAACAATTGATTTTTTTTTTTGCAAATTCTAAAGTAAACTACACAGGTCTACAGAAATATTTGGATATGCAATGTGTTGATTTTTGTGGACGGAAAGAGTCTCTGGTCTTCTTTGTATACCCTCCACCATACTGTGGAGGGTATATTAATTTTGTTATTCCGTTTGTAACTCCTCGAAATACTCATGTCAGACCCAACAAAGTATATATATTCTTGATCAGCGTAAAATTCTAAGACGATTCAGCCATGTCCGTCTGTCTGTCTGTCTGTTGTAGTCACGCTATCTTTCGAAGAAATTGAGATAGAAGGCTAAAATTTTGCACACATGTATATTTTGCCAGTAGGCAGGTTAAGTTCGTAAATGGGACATGTTGGTCCAGGTTATCATATAGCCCCCATATATCAGTACCTCCCGATATTCGGTATTTTGATGATTTTAGCGACATTATTCACCGGAATTGTTTCAAATTTGGCATTTGAAGTTCGTAATCGATACTACAGCCTAATACAGAAAATAATCTGTGCAGGTCCACGTCTTCATATAGCCCCCATATAACGGTACCCCCCGATATTCGGTATTTTGATGATTTTAGCGACATTATTTACCGGGATTGTTCCAAATTTGGCATTTGAAGTTCGTAATAGATACTGCAGCATAAAACAGAAAATGGGCCATGTAGCTCCACGTCTTCGTATAGCCCCCATATACCGTACCCCCCGATATTCGTTATTTTGATGATTTTAGCGACATTATTTACCGGGATTGTTTCAAATTTCACATGTGAAGTTCATATTACGGTACCCCCTATATTCGGTGTTTTGATGATTTTAGCTACATTATAAACAGATTTTTCTTCAAGTATCGCATTAAAATATTGTAATAACTTATGACAAAAGTTGCCCATGCAGGTCCACGTCGTCGTATTTTTAAGAGTTTAACAGAATTTTTAACGGATTTTATTTTATTATTATTATTTTTTTTTTTTTTTTTGGAAATTGTCAAATTTTTACCAAATGGTGGAGGGTATTAAAAGTTCGGCCCGGCCGAACTTACAGCTTTTTTACTTGTTTTCACTCGTTCTCTATAAAAAGAAGACCTTCTGTGGTAGAAAACCTCCTTGGTGCTTCTATGACAGAAGATCTTCGGGACTTCAATGCAGAAGATTTTCGGTCTTCTATGGGCAAAAATCTTGTGATCATCTATAGGACGAGAACATGTGGTTTTGTATAGGAGAACACCTTGTGGTCTTCTATGGAAGAAGGCCTTGCGGATTTCTTTGACAGAAGATCTTGTGATCTTCTATGGAAGAAACTAGTTAAAATGTATCAGTCGGTTTTGCCGGCAGATGTATACCCTCACCAATGTTCGGTGATTCAAATATGACTTCTGTTATGATTATTCAAATTTTTGACACTTTATGGCGTAGGTTCAGATGGAATGGGTCAATATTGGCCATTTCGTATTGTACCTAAAAATATGATATAATTATTGTGACATTTCAGGTTTGGACTATATCGACTACTTCCTTCACTATATATGAGATATGTGATAATTTTTAGAAAATGTTAAAATGGACGTGAGGTACCTCATAAAGTCGACTGAAGTATTCGATTTTCATACTTCATCTAATACAGATAAAAATATTGGTATAGGCAAAATTATAAGAAAATCGAACATTTAATTTCAATTTTATGCGAAAGATATATTCCATATTCATCTCAGGTCTCTGCTGGAGAGGCATATTTTGATATAGCAAGTTGAATCGCTGACTTGTTTCGCTGACTTGTTTCGCAAGTTATGACAGATAAAAGTATTGAAAAAAATTTGACCCTTTCTGGGTGAGGTACCAAAAGGGGTTCGCAGATACATATCAACTTCATGACAAATC